ATCGGCTCAGGCTCGCTCGACGAGCTATGAATGCGTGCATTCCAACTAAGCCGTGCCGACCTAAAGTTGAAGTTAGCATTCAAAGCCACAATCACCGTTTCTTCAAATGAAGACGGATGCACACGGATGACTTCTATTATGGTCACGCCAATGCGGAGGTCCTCCATAAAGACGGCCACTGTGACCGCCTCGGGGTAAGATTCGACTGCCATCCCAGCAATGAGAGTGCTCAACTCTTGGATAAGGTCCACCAATTCCTTCTTGCCCTTCCGGGCGGCAATGAAACGCGATCGCACGCATTATGCCTGATTAGGCGGCGAGAATACTCGCAAAAGCTGACGCTCCAGCTTCTTCCAGGAGGGGAACGCCGCTTTAACCGAAGCACCGAATGTAAGTGCCCATTTTCGCGTCCCGCTCCGAGTCGGGAGATAGCTAGCGCGACCTGCCGTTGCTCGTTCTGATGCATGACGAATGACATAGCCATCTCGGTCTATCTCACCCAAAGAAGAAGATTATCTCCATCCTTTCTCTCGAAGGTTTCAACGCTCACCATGTGCGGAACCCGTCGTCGACGGTGGCGTCATAAATGCTGTCGACGCCGTCATCTTCTGCTCAAGGTTCCCTAGCAGAACATTTTCATAGCTCAAATATTGCCTTTAGGCGCGTGCTTATCGCTTCAGGTCCTTGCAAAGCAAGGTGTTGCACGCCCTGAGGGCCAAGCAGAGATATCAGATTTTGAAGCCCGTCCTACATACCTTGGGGCAAATAGGAGAATTTGCTCCATCCTCACAGAGGATCAGTCGTAACAACGTTAGGTGTAGATTGACTACTACTGCTACCAAGTGCAGCGGGGCTGCCGTAGTTCTTTGCTCAGAGGAAGCTCCCCGACCTTCGTTCTATACTAGAACCAGTACGAGTGTAGCGGATCGCTATCCGCTACCTCCAAGAGTACTCTCAACCTTAATCCAAGGCAAATATACTCTTCCGCTCAATTTGCGGCAGAGCCGTCTAAATCTAACTTTCTAAATTTTCCTTACTTAAACGAATACCGGCAACACCGCCACGTAGTGGCTTCTTGTTACAGTGTAGCCACTCCATTGTGTGATTATACCGTCGTGAATAAACCACACCTCTGTACGGTCACACCATATTGCGTGACACCCCTTTCATACCAGGATAAGTGTAACCCCGTATCACAGAAAGTCGGTACCAAGTGGGACGTTTGCTCTATTTGACCTTTACCTCGTCGTAATTTGCACTGGATAAGGCGTTAACGACGTCATTAATAACATCATTCGCTAGATTTTTCTTGAGAAATTTAGTCATTGTCATAACACACTCTTCAATCCAGGGTCAACACCTGTGACAGGTCTATTGATTGCATCGGATTTTCAGAAAACAGTTTCAGTCTCTATACCCACAACTCTTAAAGTGTTTTCATTTGCAGTCTTATCCATATTAACGATGCGCTCAGCCCTTCTTTCGTGCCAACTTGGCGATTTAATTGGATTGCGACTCCTTGCATTCAATCCCCAGAGGTAGCCGTTCAAGCTCTATAAAATGCTTTTTTGGGCTGGCAAAAGGTATCCCTAGGACCACCAAACAATTACAAGGACTCTAACACCCTGCATGATGGCTCACCACTCGGTGTTGCGACTCACCTATATCGTTCACCGCAAGAGGGCACTCGATCGTTATTTTAATCAACGCCTTGATATTCTACTTGCTATTCCCAACCGCTTCTTCCTTGAAGAGCTTGCTCTGAAGCCGCAAAATACTGTCGCACTTTTGGGTCCGACCAGAACAATCTCTGGGGACCCTGCTTACAGATAAAAACATCTGTCTCAGAAGGAGTTATCCTGGGGAGCGTGAAAACCAACTACTATTTTTTGTCTTTTGGGTAACCGCGGTTCAAAGCTGCTTAAGCATTCCGATCTTTGCACAAGGTTCTCTGTAATATTATGATAGTAATCTATGACGAATTACGTGCCTTACACCACTATGTCGTGGCTACTTGGTGTTATTTAGAGAGCAACCTCAGGGGAAGAAACCTCCTTCGTTTCCCATTAATCTAAACTTTTGCCAAACCCAGTAACCAACATAAGTGATGACTTTCACTTGTAGCTTTTAGATGTAATGCGTCATTGGTGCCACATTACGAATATCTGATTCTTTGATTCTTGTGATTGCCGAGATAGTGCAGATACTTAAATTTTTATATATGCGCGGTGCAGTATAGTGGGTTTGGCTGTGGTACCCTAGCAGATAATAATAAACGAATGATTTGCTCATATCTGTGAATATGTAGAGGGACGTCTCTGTAGGCTCGCTTCCTGGATCCGCGTCTACACGCACACACTTTTCCTATGAACGGCTGATTACCTAAACTGATTCAGAAAACTTGAAAATTTAGATCAAAACTTCTGTGAAGTAGAAAAGCCTAGAACTGACAACTTATTCTAAGTGTTTTTATGGTAGATATTGTTATTTGCTGTTTTTTTATGATTAATAATATTACCTTACAGTAAATTTGCTGTACTGTTTTTTATGATTATCTTACAATAAATTTGCTAGGTTGTAATGCGTCGCCTGTAACATTGGTAGTTTCCAGCGGCTTGTCGTATATATATCCCTCGAATTGTATTTGCTCTAAAACAGACTTTTCAAAACGAAATCTCACCGAGATCCTTGCGGTTACTGAACATGTAATGTAATGAGTCTGCATTCGGTGATCTCAGTAAGACGTTTGTATCTAAGGTCGATAGATGCCGCTATTAAATGACTATTAGTATGATAGCGATTCTGGCAGCCAGAAGTATCGACGATTTTCGTGATGCCGATTTGGATCAAAATTAACAATCAGCTGACCCAGCCAATAATTGTCATAGTAGATATAAGCAGGTCAATGTTGGTCAAGAGATCTTAGGATCAATCCTATCTTATCCAATCTTTCCTTAGGATCTATCCTATCTCTCCTTCGGATCTCTCCTGAGATCTAAGAGTCGCAATCTACCTAAATTTTACTGTAATATATTCCTCAGAAAACTAGGGCAAAATCCTGGTAGCCCACCTGTGAAAGACGAAGTGGTATGGCAGAAGTGGCATCCCATCTCTATTGCACAACCAACAGAATTATGTTCTATTGCAGGATTCTGTTTCGTCTCATGTTCATAACGGTGGCTTACTAAATGGACAAATAGCCTCAATTTGTTATCTTGACAACAAAGATGTAGCTGAGCTACACGCGAAGCAGATAACGTTCTTAAACCAAAGACTACACACAATCGATACGTGTTATCAACATGGTGCAAAAGCTGATCGAAAGATTTCTCAAATACCGCAGATAAAAGTACCAACGATTAGCTGTGGATGATGTGTTTAGCAATCCTGTACATGCGCTTCGAAGGAGATAAACGGCGTACATGGCTCGGACACCCGACTCATGACTTAGATTTTTTAGACAACCCACCTAGATAGACAACCCACCCCATCTCGATCGTGATAGTTTTGATAGCGTCAAAAAGGACTTTCTGTAGTGACAGTAGATCGCATGCTCTCGTCTCAAATGAATTTGTAGAACAAAATCAGTGTTACAGACGGAAGAATTCAAAGTAAAAGTTTGGTCGAAAGACTGGTACGTTACAACGTCTGAGGTTGAAGTACGAAACTAAAAGTGGGTTTTCCATCAATGATTCTTTCTTGGGATATCGCCAGTTCCCGATGATCAGCCCTGCGATCGTCATATTGCTTAGCGCCCAAGTGCAGTCTGGCAAACTCTGATTCCATTACCCTCAACTATTTTGCGATAAGTATGCAAGCGTGTCAACAAGTACCGTTACTGATATTAGCGCAACTTCGAGAAAGAATTATAACATCACGATGCACATGATCATGGCTTAGATAAAGCTACTTCGAGCTTTCGATACAATCCATGCATGTTCGTTCAGACAAACATGGCACATGAGAATCAGTGAATCGCGATGCGTGTGAACGATAAGAAAGATTCTCGCTTATCTGGCTCTAAGTAATAATTATCGGGTACTAGGTGATACCTGCCGTCTTCGGCTAACAATAGTTCCAGAACTAGCTTCAATAAAAGCTTGCCCTTGAAGTAAAATCACGCTACATCCGTCAGTGTCAGCGCTCGATTTTGAAGGCCATGTCTTTGTCGAGCAAGAGAACGGTAAATGTGGTATGGTAGTCGGGGTGTTGTACTCTCTGTAGGCGATCAACAACGAAGGTTTGTGATTCCTGTACTATCGATTTACCAACACTTGTTTTTTTGTCAAAGGTGTCCTATCTCAACCTAGTCTGGATTTTACTGCTTTATTATGTATTTAACCAACACTCTCCGCTTCAACCCAATGCTTACAGTCTGAAGGCAACCCTGCCCATAGGACCTACGTTTGCACCGTACATATTTTTTTTTTTT